AGAGATCTGCCTGCCTCTGCCTCCCGAGTGCTGGGATTAAAGGTGTGCGCCATCAGTCAGCAGTGGCCTGGAATCTCTCAGAGTTGATGTAAATAGTATCACAGAATTTTAAATTAGCACTTCTTTTCTGTGTCCTCATATCAGATAAAACCTCGTAACAGAGGATAAGGCTGGAGATGGCCCAGCAGCTAGGAGCATTTGTTCTTTTCTTAGAGGACCTGGGTTGAGTTCCCAGCAAGCATGTGGTGGCTCACAATCATTTGTAACTAGTCCTAGGGGATTCAATACCTCCTCCTGACCTCCCCAGGCATGTGGTACACCAGTGTACATACATGGAAGCAAAATACTCACACATATAAAATAAAAATAAGCCAGGTGTGGTGGTACATGCCTTTAATCCCAGCACGTGGGAGGCAGAGGCAGAGGCAGAGGCAGACAGAACTCTGAGTTTTAAAGCCAGCCTAGTCTACATAATGAGTTCCAGGCCAACCAGGGTTACATAATGAGATTCTGTCTTCAAAATAAAATAAACACTTTTTAAGGAGTAGAATATAGATAGGAAGAATTTTGCTTTCATAAGACATTGAAAAAATACTTTTTCCCATATCATGAAATGGTTCATCCACTCCAAGACAGCCAAAGTCGTGAGCACTAGGAGATATTGTAAAATGGGAATGGAGGTAGCAAAAAAGACTTTGACTTTCAGCAATTTCATGAGAGACCACAGAAATTCATTCTTGCCTTAATATTCTTGGATACCTCTATACTTGATTCCACCAATATTTTCTCTGCTATCAGCTCATAGGCATAGTTATTTCTCTAAATTCATTTCTTCTAGGGTTAGTTTTTTATGAATGAGTGCTTTCAGGAGCTAACGGGTACCTTGAGAGCCATCCATCCCAATGGCAACCTCAACTCATTTATTAGCTTTTTTTATGTGTTTGTTCCTTAGTACAGCCTTGGATACTTATGCAGGCAGAGGAAAAAGACCTTCAGTTCTACAGTCAGTGATAACTAGAAAACGAGTTCCTTTTTTTTTTTTTTTTTTCCTTCAAGTCAGGGTTTCTCTGTATAGTTTTGGAGCCTGTCCTGGAACTAGCTCTTGTAGACCAGACTGGTCTTGAATTCACATAGATCCGCCTCCCTCTGCCTTCCAAGTGCTGGGATTAAAGGCATGCGCCACCACCGCCTGGCTAAGTTCCCTTCTTGTTCCTAAGTCTACTGTATTAGTCAGTGCCTCTGGAGAAACAGAACAATATAAGTGTGTGTGTGTGTGTGTGTGTGTGTGTGTGTGTGTGTGTGTGTGTGTGTGTATTTTAGAAAACTACCTAACCCTAAAATAGTAAAAACAGTTGTCTCACCTAAGACGATAAGAACCCATTAGTTGCTTGGTTCTTGGGCTAGGAGCTTCAGCAGTTAGAATTGTCCGTCAGGGGCTGTCTTACACTGGCAAGAGTCTACCAGCCTGGGTGGCTCAGTGGTCCCAACCTAGCATTGAAAACCTGCGGGGTTTCTGGGGTTGCTGGTCTGGGTACCAGAAAATGCTGTCTATACTGAGACATGGGTCTTCCATGTCAAGTAAGACAGTCTGGAAAATTCCTCCGTTGAGTCTTCCTACTCAGGTGATTTGAATTGGTGGCAAGATGACCTTAAAGCCAATCATCACAGTCATTTTTTAAAATACAGTAAAGTAACCTTTTTACAAGATTTGTTGTTGCTGGCAATTTTGTGTGACTAAGGATCAACCCAGGGCCTTACTTATGCTAGAGAGGAACCCTCCCACAAATCTACAGCCACAGCTCTTAAAGTACTGTTTCGTTCTGTTTTTGAGTCAAGGTCTCACTGTGTATCCCTGGCTGACCTGAAACTCACTATGTAGTCCAGGCTAGACTTGAACCCATAAAAATCTGTCTTAAGTGCTAGGATTAAAGTTATGTGCTCCATGCCAGCACATAGTTTTACTTAGAAAAAAATATGTCTACCCTGTTGGTACAACTCTTTTTTTAGGGGGGTAGAGGATTTGAGTCAGCGTTTCTCTGTGTAACAGCTCTGAATTTCCTGGAACTAGCCCTGTAGACCAGGCTGGCCTCGAACTCAGAGATCCTCCTGCCTCTGCCTCTCGAGTGCTGGGATTAAAGGTGTGTGCCACCACCTCCCAGTGATAGAACTCTTAATATATCAAGTAAAAAAGTGAATTTCCCCTATAATTCTCTTTGTGTCCCTATCCCACTCACAGCACTGTCCCTACTTTTGTCCATAGGTGGATGAAGTCAGGACACAAGAAGTTAGGCTGCCTGCAGAAATGGAAGGGGAAAGGATGACTGTGACCCGGACCAGAGCCAGGCCTGTGCCCTTGTACTGCGATCTCATTGGGGATGCATTCTGGAAGGAACACCCAGACATTCTGTCGGGAGACAACTAAGCCTGCACTCTGCAATTCTGCCCTGCTTAACCATGTGGGGCTCCCGGAGTCTCCTCTCCTTGGGAGGGCTCAAGCATTTCTAGCCCCAAGAACACTGTACAGAGTGAAATGACTGGAGGAGCTGGGTAGAGACAGAGAAAAAAGCAATGGACGGGGGCAGTGTATCTTATTGTGCTCAAACAGAATACCTTTCCTTTTTTTTACAGTGTTAGAACATGACTTCTTTGGCTCTTTTCAAAATCATGATCCTATTTTTATAAAAGAACTATTCACGCTTTTCTGGAGGAGTCATTTTTTTAGCTGTGGCATAAGCCTTACAAAAACCTATCACTTCTGATTGAAGAGGAGCCCAAACTTTACCCTCACCCACCTATCTTAAATAGGGAACACAGCAACTGAAAAATCCCACTTGTGACAGCCGTGTACTTACACTCATCTTTTGGCATGAGGTTAAATATGGGTTCCTGCCTGCACGATGCCTCCAGATTGAGGAATCCCAGGGAACACTTGAGGCTTCGTGCCAGTTCCCCAGGGTGGCAGCATTGACTGAACAAAGGAGGAGTGGTTCATTCCTCCTGCACCATTCCAGGATTGATTTTTCTGCAATTGGTAGTATGATCATCATCATCTTCTCTTACCAGGGATATAACTCTTTTGAAGAAAAGGTATTTTGGGGAGGTATATGTGTATTTGTATGAAAGAGGATGGAGAAGCAGCTGCTCCATGGATGCTAGAAGTACTTCATTTGGAAAAGCTGACTTTGGATTAGACTTCTGGATAAGCATTTTCAAATAGCCTCAATGTAGTCTTGTATTTGACTACATATTTGAATTCAAGAACACCAGGAGGCCTGATTTGGTTTAACCTAATCCCAGCTCTCAGGAGGTTGGGGCAGGAAGAGAAAATGTATGAAGCCAAACTGGACTACATGGCAAGACTGTAAAAAAGGGTGGGTTTGGGGACTATTGATTCAGAGGTTTTAAATAGCCCCTCCTGTTGGCGGCAGGATGGAGTTGGCAAGAGAGTAGTAAGGGATCATTTGTTCCCAAGGTGTTGGAATCAATGGCATAGTCACATTTCCCCTTGACCTTGTTTTATGTTTTAGAGGAAAAAGATTATTTACTTCCATCAGGAATTAATTAAAAGACAGCCCATGTCCTGCTTCCTGGTCTTGATTGTAGAATTTACAGCCAAGAAGAAAATGTATTTCTGACAGAGCAGCATCTGGCTCATCCCTCACCAATTGACACTCCATCTGCTGATGCCAGATTTTTTCCTTCCTGTTCTCCCCACTCCCCAAGAAGAAGCAATAGAGCTCATGTTTGGTAACTGAAATAAAGATTTCAACTTCTTGGCCTACTTAATTGGTTTCTACAGAATGAGTCTAACTGTGTGCATGTGTTTGGGAAAGCTAGGATGCAAGGACCCACATGGCAGACATCCAGAGATTTCTGGAGACATTTTAAAAAATGTTAGTTTGAATACTTAATTTTAAAGTGTCAATGTAAAACACCCATGTGGATATTTGGGACTTGGAAATGAGGCTTTTTTGTTTTGTTTTTGAGCCCAAAGGCTTCTGTTACATGGCTGTCAGCATTATAGTACATTTGGCAAGCAATTCCCTCAGCATACTGATGAGGCAGTGAGATCGTTAGCTCCTGATGAGCAAATTTAACTTAATGGTAAGTTGATAGCATTTTACATCAAAATTAGACAAGTAGGAAATATAAACCAAAGTTTGATGACAACCACTGGAGAAAGTTTGTACTTTCAGACACTGGGAAGCCTGTCTCTGGACTTGTCCTAAGATAGTCATTTACTGGTAGTTATGTGGTTTGGTGGTTTTCACTCAAGAAGGGGATTTTAAAGCAGTAAACCAGGTTTAATACCAATGCCATCAAGAAACCATTACTGGGCTAGAGAGATGGCCCGGCAGTTAAGAGGCAGTCCTCTTTCAGAAGACCTGGGTTCAATTTCCAGCACCCACATGACAATCACAACTATCTAACTTCATTTCCAAGGGATCTGATACCTTTACACAGATACACATGCAGGCAGAACACCAGTGTGCATAAAAGTACATTTAAAATACACCTTTAAAAAAGAAAGAAACCATTACTTACCCAATGCTTGACTTTTCACTCTGTGTGTTTTCGTCCCACAGTGCGTCTCACAGTTGCATGTTAATGTTTATCTTTGTCTTGAAGATATTCAAGTATCCTTTTGGGTCATATTTTCAAACTTACAGAAAGTAAGTAAGACCCCAAAGCAGCTAGTGTAGGCTTAGCACTGCTGGATGAGGAGGTACTATCTCCAGGAGACTCACTTAAAAAAAAAAAAATTAGTTTGGGGCTGGAGAGATGGCTCAGTGGTTAAGAGCACTGATTATTGGACCCACGTGGCAGCTCACAACTGTAACTCTAGTTCTCAGGGATATGATTCTCTGGCCTCTGTTGGCATTGACTGCAGGTGATGCAAAGACATACGTGCCAGCAAACATACACGTGAAATATATATTAGTTTTGCCGAGTTAGAGCTATAAAATAGTGTTGTTTGATCTTATGATCCTTTGGATTTTGCAGTACTAAGGAAAACAGTGATGGAGTGAATTCTCTTTTCTTTGATACTAAGGGATCTCCAGTGTTAGCAGGGAAAGGAAATGAGGATTGCAGTCACCCACATTTTATAGTACTTACCAGTTAACATGAGCCCACTGTGTGTTCTGTACCCTTCCTGACATATTTCAGATGACAGTAAAAACCCAAAGAGGCTCAATAATTTGAGCCCCAGACAAGCTAATTCAACCCATCTCAGGAGTGCAAAATGGGGTATGTTTCGTTCTCCTGCCCTTTGCCTCCAGCTCAAGCTATCGGGGGATTTTAAAAAGCCCGTCTGTCTCAAAGCCCATTCCGGAGCATCAAATACCTGAAGCTGTCAACGGGTTGTTTTTAAATAAATGTTTTTGTTTTTGTTTTGTTTTGTTTTTTGAGAGAGGGTTACTTTGTGGGTTTGGAGACTGTCCTGGAGCTATCTCTTGTAGACCAGGCTGGTCTCAAACTCACAGAGATCCGCTTGCCTCTGCCTCCCAAGTGCTAAGATTAAAGGGGTGTGCCGCTACGGCCCAGCATAAATGGTTAAATTTTGTACTGCTTTCACAATGTTGGCTTTATTTTTCGAATAATTTGTCCCTAATTGTGTGTTTTGCTGACGTTAGATCTCAGATTCGGAAAAGATAATAAATGTCGGTGGGAGAGGAAAAATGAGAACTAATAAATAGTATCTACTTCAGTAACAAAAGACAAAGGTCAGAGGAGAGCCCCAACCTATCAGCTGTCTGTGGAGGCGGAGCGAGGCCAGGTAG